AAATTGTTGCTTAGTTAATAAATAGAATGCCAACAGGTGAAAAATTGTTGCCTAATTAAATGAATTATGCAACAGGCCATGGTGAAAAACCATTGTCTATTTGAATAAGCAATGGGTTTTTAATGTTGCACATATTTGTTGCCTAAAATAAAAGTTACAATTAAAAAATTGTTGTCTATTCTTATATTAAACGACACCTTTTCACCTATTGCAAAAAAACAAAAAAAAAAAACAAAAGAAACTATCGCGGTAGCCTTAACATAGGCATTGCAAGGTTCTCTAATTCCCCTTTTAATTATTTTTTATAATTATAAATAAATAAAATATACAACTACTTTTCTTCAAAAAAAAAATAAAAGATGCTTTATTGTATGACTATAACACAGATGCCTAATTTTTCATCATTGTGTTTATTTTCTTATAGACAAGAGGCATGAGGGTTATCATAGAACATGGTTGAAACTTGAAATACAGCCCTCCAAACACTATATTGCTTCTGAACCACAACATTGAATATTTTCTATAAATTTTGCTTTGTAAAAAATATAAGTTGTTGGTTAATTTTAAAATTGTTTTTCCAAACTATACCCTACTTTATTTATTATATTTTTTTAAAAAATGATACATTAGAATTTCAATTATGATTACCAAGGACATTTATATGGAATATGTAATGAGAGTATAATTGAAAAGATATAAATTTTTTAAAAATTAAGATTTTAATAAGAATAGTAAAATCTTAACTAATGCCATATATTATAGTCTAGATGAGTATAAAATAACAATTCAACCAATTAAGGGGAGGGAGTGAAAGCAGACCCCCACCCTTTTTGTCTTGAACTGAAGCTGCTCTACATCTCACACTTCCATGTCTTCTACTATTTATTGAAGGATTTAATTTTATTATACATATATTTATTAATTTTTTTATTACAAACCTGCCATAATATATATGGTCAAAAATTAAGAATTCAAGTTTTCTTTTTCTTCTTCAAAGGAATATCTACTACTCATATATGTTTGTTATTGTTTTTATTAATCGATGATTTGGTTCCAAAATAAAATTGAAGCAAAGAATGTTTTCTTAATGAAACGAGTCATCCATACTGTCTCTTTGAATTTAAAAAATATACACAGTGAGAGGTCAACATGTACATAGATAAGATCATGAAAATTACCGAGGAAAAAATGGATAACGAAAAGATGTTGAAATGAATAAATATAAGGAGTAAATTAAATTTTTTTATAAATACTAAATTGTTTTATATTTAATTAAAATTAGTTAAAAATATTTATATTTTAAATGTAGAGAATAATTTTCAAAATTTTACTTAGAACTTACTGTGTAAGACATTTTAAACTTAATTTAAATAAGTCAGTCTGAATTCACTTCGAATGAATAAACGCAACTTACCCAGTTACCGTACCGGCTTTGTTTAAAACTGATTCTTTAATTTTTTTTTTTGACCAAAGTTTAAAACTGATTCTTTATAATTAATATGAATAAAACAGAATGATTGAGGCCGTACTAATAATGTAATAATTTGTGGACTTGACAGAGTGGGGTGGGGCCGTCGTTGATCGCTCTGCTGATAAGTTCTTTCTATATTTGCTTTGACTTTCTTTGACTGTTAGAGTTAATCCCGACGGCCTTCAGATCCACTGCCTGCAGTGCCCCTTCTACTTTCAGGTAATCTAACCAAATCTCTCTCTCTCCCCTTCTGGAAATTTTGCCTCTTTCTTGTTACCGTTGCTATAACTGAGTACAGTTAGAAGAAGGTGAAGGAAAGAAAGCTACTCTTCGGCTTTTCTGAAGCAGCTTTTACATTTCCCTCTAATTACTGCTCGCTGTCAAACTTGAGAGTTTATACATCTGAATCTACTGTTATTCGTGAGAGAGAGGGGGAGAGAGAGAGATGGTTTGGTTTTGAATTTTGACGTTGAATCTGTGTGTGTTTTATATAATCTGTTGGGAAGATGGCGAGCTCGTTGGAGGTTGAATCATTATCAGAGACAGAAACAAGTTCTGTTTGCTTTTGCTTGCCCACACATCACCGCATCCACATGCAAACCATCCCTTAGATTTGGATCCTCTTCTCTCTTCTCTTTAGTGTCTGAATCAGTATGTCTGGACAGAACTGACTCGTTAATTTCTGCTCTTCTCTAGACTTTGATTTAATTCATTTGGATACTTTTCCTCTCTTACACATATATGGTCATTTTACTATTAAAAAAATTATTTAAATTATAGGGTAATAATGTAATGTCATTTAATACTTGCTTCTATTTTTGGGATAATATATCTGACCACGAAGTGGAAGGAGTATTTCATTTACCTAACACTATTCATCAATAGGTTATGCCATTTGCTATAAATCTAAATATTATATATATTCTTTTAATTAGATATAAATTTTATAGAGCACGCCGAAAGCTTTTCTATTACGTTACGTCAGCTTGAGTTTGCCTGCTAACGTCATGCATTACCGGAGCATATTTGTATATGTTAATTAAGTATATATTCAATACACACGCCCACGCAGACATGTTCGTTGAAATTAGATCTAAATATTCCTCGTTGCTATAATAATTTTAATTGAACATTCTTTTCCTGAAAATTTTATTATTTTAAATATTTTTATTTAATAAATAAATTTAAAATTTGTGAATTTTAAAATGCTTTATTTATAACAATTGTATTTTAATTAAAATAAATCCATAAGACTCGTATATATTGATAAGCAAACCAATTATTGAACCCATATTGTGTGTTGATTCCCAGAGAAATGGCCGTAGCAGATGAAAGTTCCATAACTTTACCAGTCTCACAACTTGTGACAGTCGCTTCGGCTCAGTCTAGGAGGCCTCTCCTTCATCTTGTGGATGATGCACGTATTTTCTCCATCTCTCTCTCTCTCTCTCTCTCTCTCTCTCTCTCTCTCTGTGTCTCCATATATAAAATCTCTTATACATACATACATACATGCATATATATATATATATATATTTTACAAAACTATGTCACGATGTTTATACTAAACTTGTTTCAGAAGAGCGAAGAACCAATTACCTAAAGCTATGCGTTCCCTTTACAAAGCAGCTTTGAAAGGTGATTGGAAAGCAGCAAAGAACATCTTAGATCAAGACTGGAGTCTCATTCGTGCCGCCATAACCAAGGGGTGGGCGACGATGCTCCACGTGGCCACCGGAGCGAACCACGTTCACTTCGTGGAGGAGCTGGTGAAGATAATGCATCCACAAGACTTGGAATTGCAAGACGTGAAAGGGAACACTGCGTTTTGCTTCGCTGCAGCACAACTGGGATTTGCAGATTGTTGAGATCATGCAGAGAAGAAATGAGAGCTTGCCAACAATAAGAGGCGGTGAAGGAACCACGCCTCTTCACATGGCTGCCTTACAAGGACAAGTCAAATGGCACGGTATCTATACTACAAACTATTCGCGTTTTTGAATATACTGATTGGATTGTACTTCTCTTCTTTTGTGTCAACAGTGGAATCTATGGTAAGAATATCACATACACAGAGCATGAGACTAGTAAAAGTGACAAGTGTGAGATTTGAAGTGTGATGTATTTGTTGTGTTAAATTTTGACAGATATGGCCTTGAAGGTGCTAGAAGAGAATCCAGATCTAGCTTTTGAGAGGGATGGATCAAACAATGAGACAGTCTTGCATATATTGGCTCGAAAGCCTTTAGGTTCTGGTTGCAAAAGTCAGAGATATCGAAAGCGGCTTGTGAAGTCCTGTAAGTGTCCATGATCACCTAAATAAATGGTGATATGCAATTAGATAAATGACAGTTTTTATCAGTATAATAAGTCTTGAATATTTTTGATAGCTTGATTGTCAAATCGTGTGTTACCAGGTTTGAGGCAAACTCAGCAACTTCAACTTGTAAAATACTTGTGGAGTATATTCCTTAAGCACGATGATAATATGATTATGGACAATATAAGACTACCCTCACAAGTAACATTTGATGCCGTAGAAGTTGGGAATTTTGAGTTTCTAGCTGTGCTTATAAGCTCATATCCTGACTTGATATGGGAAGTTGATGACAGAAATCGAAGCATAATTCACACTGCAGTTTGCATCGTTGCGCTGATTCTTCAATCTCATACATGATATCGGCCCGATCAAAGATTTCATAGCATGTTTTGAGGATGAAGATAAAAGCAACTTATTGCATATGGCTGCAAAAATAGCACCGCCACATCGATTCAACTTGGTTTCAGGAGCGGCTTTTCAAATGACCCTTGAGTTATTATGGTTTGAGGTAATTTATTAGTATAAAATATTTAGTCTATCATAAGGATGGCCTGTTGTGAGCTTGTTGTAAGTTTTATATATTTTATATTGATATTGACAACATGCGTATATCCTTTGATATGCATGGTAGGAGGTGAAGAAGATAATGCTACCATCATTGATAGAGATGAAGAATGCTGAAGGCTTGACTCCTCGCCAACTATTCACAAAGGAACATGAAAAATTATTGGGCAAAGCTGAAAGATGGATGAAGAAACAGCAGAATCATGCTTGCTTGTTTCCACTATTATTACTACAGCAGTGTTTACAGCTGCATTCAGTATACCGGGGCGGTATCAATGACAGTTCAGGAAACCCTAATTACCTGCAGAAACCATCATTCTTGATATTTGCCATATCTGATGCAACTGCAATGATCTCATCCTCAACCTCTATACTTATTTTCTTATCCATCCTCATTTCACGTTATGCAGAAGATGATTTTCACAAGTCATTACCCTTGAAGTTGATATCCGGTTTTGTTGCTTTGTTCATCTCCATAATAAGCATGATGATAGCATTTAGCAGTGCCTTCTTCATCATGTATTATCACGGTTTAAGGTGGGTTCCTGACTTCAGTTCTGCACTTGCTTTTATACCTGTACCCTTATTTGCGTTTCTGCTTTTCCTACTCTGGTCTGATATAATTTATTCGACCTACTTTTGTAAGAATCTTTTTCGCCCTAGTAAACATATGCTTTACGAGAAAAGTCAGTTACTTTCAGTCTCTTGTATTTAAATGTACTCTTCATGTGGTATGAGCCTTGAGTTAATAAGGAAATTTCCTTCTCATCAACATGGTGGTGGTGTAAATTCTTCTCTGATTTTCGTTATATATTTACTTTAAACTTTATATATACGTATGTACTCTGTCATACTAATAATATGCTATATTTTGTCACTTAACCAACACTGTCTATAAACATATATATGCCTAGGCCTAGAGTTTCTATATTGCAACTAATTAATGTAAACGATCCAAAAACAAAAATCTCCTTTCTCTCAAAGAGAATTGAAGGATGAAAATACCTGAATGCCCTTGAGAATTTGCTGGCCTATTGAGGTATAAAAATCCAGGGAAATGACAAGTAAGAACTTTATAACAATATTAAAGTCAAATCCAAGATTTTTTTAAAAAAGATTTTAGTATTGAAATTTATGGGAGAATGAGCACTGAATTGATTTGGGATCCTTAATTAATTATAAAGAGATCCTAACTTGATATTAATGTTCTTATAAGGTCCTTATTTGTCATTCTCTCCCTTTCTCACTTCATGTGATTGAGTCATTTTCATACTATACCGATCTGCTTTCTAACTTTTCCTCCTCCGTGACATTATTGGCTTGAAAGGGCTACACTCACATGGAAGTAAAGCTTAATCAAGTCTTACAAATAAATACATTTTCTAAATTTTCTAAAATTTATTTATTTGCAAGACTTGATTAAGCTTTACTTCCATGTGAGTGTAGAAAATTTAATTTTAATTAGGTTAACTTGTTAGAAAATTCATTTATTTGCAAGATTTGATTAAGCTTTACTTCCATGTGAGTGTAGAAGATTTGATTTTAATTAGGTTAACTTGTTTTAATTACTTATTTCTCTTGATAACAACAATTATATGTGACCTCATGGCCACCAACTATATTATTCTGGAGAGCACCATGATAAGTACTGTTCCTCATTTCACTTTAATTTTTCTCGCCTACTCCCTTGACAGCAACGGAGAAACAAATTAAAATTTTTCAATTTTAAGGATTCTTTTATCGTAAAAATACGGTCAAAAAATTAAATAAAGGCCTCAATCCATTGCCTATGAAGGATTGTGGTTGGATTTTATTTAACAATACTTCTAATTGTAATTGAGGATGATGATGGGAAGTTTGGAAATGTGAAAATAAGGGCAAAATATATAAGAATGATCATATGTGAAAAATTAGTAACTTAGTAAAAATAAAAACAACTCAAATTTAGATCTAGAGGATTGTACTAAGCTCATCAAAGTCAATGTAGACCATATATAGTTAGAAAAAAAATGCTTAAAGAAATACTTACAAATAATTACCATTAATGTCCTCATCACATTAGTGGTGAATTTGAATTCTTGCCTTTAAATATTATGAGTCGCATACATAATGAAGACAAAACCAATAACCAAGACAAACTTAAATTGACATATAAAAAGTAAATTTGAAAGATTAAATTAATAACTAAAACAAATTTAAGTAATTAAAAAATTCATTATTCTTCTCTTTCTATTTCTTCCTTCCCTCCCTTTCTTCTTCGTTTCCCCTTTACACCACTTGTTATTTGTGCTGATGATGCTTCGAAGATTTATGCCTTTCACACTAAATCTTTTATACAGATAAACAAAAACAAGAGCAAGGCTTTTTTTTTTCCCCTCTTTTGCATGGGCATCCAATGTTCTAGGCCTGTCTCACTCGGGGCGTGAGAATTTAATGGGGCCCAAACTAATTGGGATATAGTCATGACAAGCACTAAAAGGGTGGACGCCCCTGACCACTTACATTACTGCATTCTCAGGATTTGAACTCAAGATCTCTAATTAAGCTGGAATAACTCTTGCTAGTTAATCCAAGTGCTTGTGATTAAAACAAGAGAAAGGTTTTGTCCACGTAACTCCACCTACACACACAGAAATTTGATGTCATATCTCTAATTCACTATATGCTTGGGAAATTACTTAATTAGAACAGAATATTTTATACGTACATGTATATGCTCGTCATGCACATGAGACAGCAAAATAAAGTTAAATGTAGGGTTAACGAGTATCATAAATCTTAAACTATTACGCGAATAGCATCCTAGATCCTAAGCTCTTGAAATATGCAAAAACTCCTCTCAACTTTTAAATTTCGAGCGCTTGAAACTTCACCTTTAGGTTGGAAAAAATGGCTGTTACTTTTGTAGTTATGGAGCCCAGTTGCATGTTGATGTGGCACTCATCTTAACCCTTAAAAATAACTATCATTTTCTCCAACTTAACGACGAGCTTTCGGGCACTCAAAATTTAAAAGTTGAAGGGAGTTTTAGCATATTTCAACAGTTAGGATCCAATATACTATTCAAGCAATAGTTTAGGGTTTAAAATACTCATTAACCCTATAATAATGTATCATTAAATTGATCTTGAACTATTACCAACATGGTTGGGTCTAGTAGAAAGAATTAGTCTCTTACAGTATGATGAACTAAGGATTAAATTCTCATTGAAAAGATGCCTATATTTAGTACCTGACCGTACCTTGAATATAATTGCCTCCAATAAGAAAATGCTTATAAGTAATAAAAACATTGATTTTAAACTATTACCAGAAGAAAATTTTGTTTAGCATGCTTTTTATAAGGCATACTATATTTTAGTCAAAAAATTATGACATGTAACTTTCAAATGATTTTTTTTTGTTCAAAAGTATATATTATATTAATTGTAATGGAAAAAATAAATTAGAAATGATAAATATAAAAGCTGGAGATATATAATTGTCAGAATGATAATGAAGTCCTAAAAATTTGAATTAATGGCAGTTAGATTTTCAATAAAATTTTTTAAAAAATGAGTTATAAATATTAATTTAAACAGTTACAACTTACAAATAAAAATTTATGTTATAATTTAATAGTTTATATTTGATATTTAAATACACCTTTGCCATTGAAACTCTTAAATTTATAATTGTTTGGATTGATATTTTTAACTTATTTTAAAAAAAAATTGTTAGGAACGTGCCTGTTATTAATTTAATATTTTGAAACCTACTTCTCCTGTCTTTATATATAAGGTGTTTTTTAGAAGTTTATTTTGTTCCTAAATATAAAGGGTGGCAATGATATTTTTGAGTAATTAGATAATTTTATCTTCATCTTGAAAAATAAAATAGATCATTAATTGTATGTTTTTTCCTACAACCATCATGATATTAATTATGATATTATTAATAGTAAAACTAGAAAAACATTGTGCTTTTATATGAGTTCAACTAAATAACAAACCTTTATAAATATTTAAAATTTAGTCAAAAATATCTATATAAAAGTACGGAGGGAGTAACTTTCATTCTTGATGTATAAATTGGACACGTTTCTTTTTATTGTAATGCACTGGCCCCTTGCTCTTTGTGTGATAGCAGCATGTTACATAGAGTAAGGTTCCAGTATTTATATAGCACCTGTACCAGTTACCACCTGATGCAACGAAACAAATCTCCCGACGCCTCAAATTACGTCCAACGCCTCAAATTTTTTTAGTTTTTTTTTTAATAGATATTTTAGGCCTCCACTCTAGGGTCTTGCGTCTGCTACTCATATACACATATAAGTGTCACAAACTTGGAACATAATACATTTTTTTTTGGTCAAAAATTTTACCCCTTGCTTGGCTATTCACCATATAGAGAAAAGAGAGACACACATACACACACGTGCACACATAATCATGTTAATATTGAATTTGAACTTAGGCTATGTTTGGTTTGAGGGGAGGGGAGGGGAGGGGAGGGGAGGGTTTTTAAGATACCTTATTTGGTTTGATTAGAGGGGAGGGGAGGGGAGGGGTTTTTAATGATCCTTTGTTTGGTTTAGGAGGGGAGGGGAGGGGAGGTAATAATTAAATTACCAATATACCCTTGTACAATAATATATTTTTTTAAACATTTTATCACACAAATCTATTTTACATAAAAACTCAAATTGTATAATTTTTTTTACTTCTTCACCCCAAATAAGTAAATTAAATAATACTATTAAATAATCTTATTAGTAAATTAATCTAAATATTAAACAATACTTTGTGAAAAAATCAATGAAACTAATGATTTTATGCCCCCAATAATTGCACAAGACAATGCTAGTCTTTAATAACAATTGAACAATAATTGTCATCATTAATAACAAAATATATTGGGCAATAGCATCTAACATATTGATCATGTTTAATAACCACATTTTGACATTTAGCTAACAAAATATACAAAAATTATCAATAAAAGTCATCATCTAATTAGAACTATAAAACATCCTCATTATCACATCCTTCCATACTGGTGCTGGACATTGAGTTACTGCTCTAAGCCTATCATTATCAGTCATAAGAAACCAATATATGTCAGGTAATCTTGCAGCATCAATCCCACACTCTTCAAGCATTTTCCAAATTTCTTCACCTGACAATTATGGCACCTTCTTGAAACTTTGTCCTATCATCACATTTCCTTGTTGAATTGCCTCAGCCACAGCTAACACTGCTCGTGTCAACTCATTTAGACTAGCCTCCTTCTCCTTAGACACCCTTTTTGTCTTCTTACTGCATGCACTATTAATAGTGGGTGAGTGCTCTTGGTCAGGTGAGTTTTCTTGTCTCGGTGAGTTTTCTTGTCCATCAAGCTCAACATTAATTGTGGCTCTATTTTGTGAGACAATATTGTTAATGTCATTGACGGTCTCAGTGACTTCTTCCTGAGAACGACGTCTCTTTCTCTACTCACGTGCTGTCTCACCCTCATCTCCATTAGCTCTATCTACTCCATATAATATCATCATTTTTTCATAGTTTGGAAAAGAAGTAGTTCTCCACAATGCTGCTTTAGGTTTAGCCTGAAACAAGTGAAATTACAAAAACAATTCAATTACAAATGCACACTTTTCCATTTTCAAACAATAATATAATCAATTCATATGTAAAAAAATTACCTCAATTAATGCATCCCAAACTTCAGGCTCAGCATCCCATACTTGAGTTGTTGGATTCCAAGCGAACCCACTCAAACTTTTGAAAATGTCATAAACATCTGAAAAGTTTCTCTTTAAAGTCTTCCATCGATTTTTCACCTTTTCCTTGTCAATTTGTTTACCGAATAAAGCACTCAAATATTTACATATATTATCATAAGCTGTAGTTGTAAAAGTACCATTAACTTTGTGACCCTCATTATATTCATTCATGAAAGCATCAACGAGGGCATCATCCATTAATCTTGTCTAGTTCACAATCTCCTTATTATTGTTTGGTGCCATCCTATCACATAATAACATAATCACATAATACCAATCCCAATATGAAAAGCTAATCAAATTTCAAAGGCAAAGTAAACAAATAATACAAAGCAAATAACAGTCAATAAGACAACAAATTTCAATATCTAATCAAACATCAATTAAACTCAATATAAGTCAATGTAATAATACAACATATTTAAATGTCTATAATAATACAATAGATTCTAACTTATTGAGAAAATAAAAATTCAATCATCAAGTTCATCCTCAAGAGCAGCCAAATGTTCCTGATAATCTGCCCATATCTGATTGGCTATATTTTCTCTAATAAGTTCACCTCGAGCAGCCTCATTATTGTCCCCTCTTTGAGCACTGTTATTATCATTTGAATGGTTTTCTCTTGCAAGAACAGCATCAACTTCCTCTAAAAGATCTTCAAGGGGGTCCATACTCACAAGAAAGTTATGAAGAATGCAACACACATATATTATCATTTTTTGTGCTTTGATCCCATATGTAGGTTCAGTTGCATTGGATAGAATGGAAAATCTTTTTTTCAAAACACCAAAAGCACGTTCAATGGCATTGCGTAACTTTGCATGTCGAAGGTTAAATAACTCTTTATAATTTAAGGGGGGATTCCGTTTTGAATATTCTTTCAAATGATAGCGGACTCCCCGATAAGGTGTTATAAGTCCTCTTGTTAACATGAATCCAGCATCGACAAGGTAATATTTACCTATCATAAGGGAAAATAATTACTATAATAATTTTACAATCACAAATATAAACTTTATCAAAATTGGTAAAATATTTACCTTCAGGAATTATAAGCCTATCTTCTCGTGTTAATGCATTTTTAATGATTCTTGAATCAGATGCAGTACCTTCCCATCCAGGGAGCACATAAGTGAACTTTAGATCAAATGTACATGCTGCTAATACGTTCTGTGTCGGGAATTCCTTCCTACCACGGTATCTAGGAGCATCTAAAGAAGGCACCTTCACTCGTATATGTGTTCCATCAATAGCACCGACACAATCCTTAAAATATGGGAAGAATTTCTTATCTTTTTCAATTTCAGGAGGGATGGTTGTGTCATTAGGTTGAACAAGAAATTTTTCTTCCAAGTCAATGATAGCTGTCAAAACTTGATGAAAATGGCGACTAATTGTCTCACCAGAACGCCTAAACCAAAAATTCACTTCACGATTTTTTGCACTGTGTGTCAATATATATAGAGTTTTTGCAACCATTTCTTTCACACTTGACCATCGCGTGGGTTGCAGGCCAACCTCTCTTTCTAATATCCCACATAATTCTAAAAAAGATCTAGGAGTCATTCTAATGATATTTCAACTAGATGGACAATCACTAATTCGGCTCATTATTTCATCACGCACCATTTCTCTCTTACCACTCAAACTGTAACTTATTTTTTCCGAACACATCTCACTTACATATACTTTTACAAGGACACAAGCAAGAAGAGCTACTGCTCTTTGACGCAAATCAAACCAATGTTGCACCAGTAAAAGATTTTCAGATTCCTTGCTCATCTAACAAAGTAACCAAGAAGAATAATGAAAATCAATAAGCAAGCCACAATTATCATAAATAATAGTAAAAGATTCAATTTCACCAGCAGAAAACAATGATCATATATATATATATATATAAAAGAGGAAATGCTTTCGATCTAATTTTATACCTAGGTATACATTCAACCATTACAATCTGACGCCACAACATCATTTTTTATATATTATCTTATAATATATTGGTCCTCTTTAATGCTTCCCAAAAAAAATTCTAAAACATACATCAGTCTGTTGGAGTGACTCTTGCACAAAAGCAAAAAATAACAGAAGTTCTAAAGAAAGAAGATCTGGACAACTTTTAATGGAGACTTTTTTCCAGCAATTTTTTGAAAGAAAGCTTGTCATTTAAATTTCATTATATCTGCGGTCAAGCTAAATATGTCACTGTATCTTTCTCTGCTTCTGCAACTTTGAGCAGAAAAATCTCCGTGTTATAGATAACAATATATTGCTTCATATGTCAAAATTAGAAACAAACATAAGAAGGTATAACATTCATTTTGATCAATGAGAAAGAAAACACCTATCAAAATATAAAGATCTTAGTTCATAGCCACCTCAAAATATTTCTAATGGAATTTGTGAGTACTTGAAGGTAAAAAATTCAGAATAACTAATCAAGATATAGAGATCATCATACACATTGAAGAACCAGAAGAAACTCTCAAAAATACTCCCTGTATGAAGCAGAGATAAAACTCACAGATGACGATCCTCAAAATCCATCTAGCCACAAAGCAAAATGAGTAATGCTATTTTGATTTGTCAACCTTCAATGATTCAGGACCATCCGAACTATTTGGGTTAATCTGACCTTTTCATCCATCATGGTTAAATTCAAGGTGATAAGTGGATTATGCTACCATAGTTAGATCCTTTAAGTGCTGTAGTTAACTTTTTTAGAATGCATCAGGATGTTATTGCCACGAACTAGGACCTATCCCCCATCACCATCCATCCCAACCACATTGAGAGATTATTTAGTTAGTCTTTAAGTGTTTTTCGACAATACTCTCACTCGGGTTCTACCAACACAGATTAATGCATCTCAGAACAGGAATACTCGCTATTTTCTGATCATTATTCTCTGCTATTCTTAGAACGAGCAAACATCATATAAGCTTTAAAGATTAATCTCAGAACAGGATAAATCTCAGAACATTATTACTCGTTATTCTCAGCACAGGATTACTCGCTATTCTCTGCTCATTTTCATTTCATTTTCCTGATTCCATACTTAATAAATCTCAGAAGAGGATCAATCTTAGAACGGGAAAATGCAAGAAAGGTTTGAAGAAGATGAATCTTAGAAGCTTCAAAGCGGACAATCTCAGAACAGTAAAATATAAATCAGAACGAAATGAAGAAGAAAACCACAACGAATCGGACGAAGAAAACCAGGGCGAAGCTGACCTGACGACGCACGGTGAGAGCTTCGAAGAGTCCGACCTGACGAGACGATGCACGGCGGGAGCTCCGACCACTCGGTGACAGCGCACGGCGGGGCTTCGAACGCTCCAATCCAGATCTGAAAAACACAAAGAAAGAAAGCCAAGACAGACTGCGAGGAAACGAGCCCGGTAGATTAGTCAAGGTTTTTTAAGGGCAATGTGGGAATATCATAAAAATAATGAGGGTAAATTAGTCAACAAATTTAGCTCTCCCTCAAAAAAACCCCAATTTGGAGGGATCCAAAATAAGGGGAGGGGAGGGGAGGGGAGCCAAAATTTTGGCTCCCCTCCCCTCCAAAAATTTTAAACCAAATGAAAGAAATGGTATCCCTCCCCTCCCCTTCCCTCTCCTCCCCTCCATTTACCTCCAACCAAACAGAGCCTTAGGGTCTCTTTTATATTGTTGCTAAAATAACTAAAACAAGTAGCAAATTTCATGTAGGAAGGAGGGAGCGAGGAAGGAATATGAGCATTCAAATGCGCACGTTTTATTAACAATTCTATAACTTTTTGAGGTGGAAGACTGACTTTTGAGGGTAAAGACAAGACCCTTGGTTGTAGCTATCTGTCCCCCCCTCCCCTTCATGAGAGGACTGAATTTGGAAGCACCAGTGGAATTCCAGTTTCTAGGACATTTCTTGGGACCTATCTGCTTTAGTAATAATTAACTTTCCAATTAATTAAATGACTTGATACATTCCACATACGCTGGATTCATTCTATGTCTTCCATCTCCAATTATAAACACTTTTAAATAAAATCTTATATACTAATGAAATTTATTAAATATATTTTATAATTTTATTTTAATTTTAAAATAAAAATATAAACTTTCAAAATGCCATTCATTTAACAATTCATTTGTAAAAGAATATTAAAGAAAGAGAATATAATGAAAAGGATAATATTAAAATAGTATCATTGATAAAATTTTATTTTTGTCAAAGTATCTTTTATTTTAGAACGTCTAATCACTAAGAAAAATTAGAATTATTGATGGATATTTTGCGATGGATTTCCAGTTCATCAATAATTATAGAAAAAATTTATAACAGACTAAAATCTATCACTAATTACATAAATTAGTGATAAATATAAAATGTCATCATATTTTATCATATTTCACAAATTTTGTGACAGATTTAAATTTTCATTAATTTACGTGATTAAATCTTTGTATTAGTGATAGATATTTTTAATTAAAAAATTACTACAATATAATGTATTTAAATATTTTATAAATTTTAAAAAATTATAATATACATAAATACTCACATAAAAACTATTCAAAATTTCCAAACTAAATAATTGCATAATTATTTTTAGATTATAAGAAAAATAAATAATATAAAATGTATTCTTATCATATAAAAATTTTAATTATAAAATAGAAATATAAAGTGGGATACAAAAATATTTATTTTAATAATGTATATTAATTGATTTGAAATAATATATTTTTTTATAAATAATATGTATAGGTTTATATATTTATATCTGTTAGTGTGTGTGCGTGTGTGTGTACGATAATGTGAACTATTTGTCATTTTATCGGAAACAAATATGATAATGTATTATCAACATATTTACATGATAATAATAATATGTGAAATATATAAAAAATATATTAAGTTATATATATGTGTGTGTTCAATTTTGTGATATATATTTGTATATTAAAATTAATTTTATATCATTAAATTAGTGAAGGATACATATCTGTCACATGAATTAGTAATGCTGTATTTTTGACAAAAATTGGAGAAGACGGATTTTCTTTATTAGTGACAAATGTGGTCGTCACTAATTGAAATTTTTTTAGTAGTAATCTCTTCAAAAAGTGTCTTAACAACAAATACTCTATTTGTGAAAGAATATTAAAGAGAGAGAATAATAACAGTAGGGGTATTTAGTGTATTTAGAATGATTGTGGAAGAACAATTCATATTATTGAATGTAACATGCAATTCATTCATCTTTGTGTGGAGGAAAGTGATTAAGAATAATGGTTTCTTACCGTTATCTATGCTAGTCCGAACCCAGCCATGCATCATGGCTTATGGCATGAGCTCACTTGAATTCAATTTGTTATACATGGGCCTTGGGTGCTTGGGGGGGATTTCAATGCAACTCTTTATGACTTTGAAAGGAGTTCTCAAGCCCGCTACAAACTTTCATAGGATAAAGACTTTGTCAACTGGTTTGATGGTAATCATCTCTTAGATTTAGGATGCAGAGGTCCCTGTTACTTGAAAGAGGGGAGTGCAGAAGCAAGGCTTGAATGATATCTGAGCAATTAGCTTTGGTCTCAACACTTCTCTAATGTTGTGGTAACTCACTTATCATGCTTCAAGTTTGATCATAGGCCAATCATGCTCAATCTTAATAATAGGGATACTTCTAATAGACGAAATCAACCTTTTTGTTTTATTGCACCTTAGCTTCTCCATGATAGTTTTGGTAATTTTGTTAAGCAAGAGTGGAAAAATAATGGGGATTGGAGTAGTAATATTGTTGAGTTCGTAGGTGTTTGCTCTCGTTGGAATGCCTCAAACTTTGGTCACACTAACTTTTGAAAAAGGCAACTTTTACAGAGATTAGATGGAATCGATAAAGCAATAAATAAAGGCGGGGACCAAAGAAGGCTTGAAGAATTGCAGTTGAGCTTGTGGAAGGAATTCGAAAAAGTTCTAATTCAAGAGTCACTCCTCTAGGCGCAAAAAGCCAGATTGGAATGGAACTTGTATGGTGATCGAAATACGAAGCTGTTTCACCATCATGCAAATAAGAGGCAAAAGATAAATAGAATTGATGCTATTTGGAATGAACTAGGAAATTGGATGTATGACCTTGACGAGATCAAGTACAATGCCACAGCATTCTTCTCTAATCATTTTGTGGATGAGATTCCCTCTAGAATGACCCTTGCTTGCTCAGTGACCTACCCTACTGTGGATGAGATTCTTATTTGATCGAGTGGTAAGCCTATTAGGAAAAGAGAGATTAAATATGCTTTATTTGGTATAAGGCCTTTTAAAGTACTTGGTCCTAATGGGTTTAAGACTATGTTCTTTCAAAACTAGTCATCCATAGTTAAAGAAGTAGTCACTAAGGTTGTAAAGGATATTTCTAATGGCCTGTGAAAAGTTGAAGGAGTTAAAAAGACACTGCTTGTGCTTGTCCCTAAGAAGGACCCTCTGAAGTCATTTAGAGATCTTCGATCCATAAGCCTCTATAGTGTTATTTATGAAATTATCACTAAGATTGTTATGAACAGATTAAAAAGACTCAAATCTCTCCTAACTAGTGTAGTTTTGTTCTAGGGAGATATAGTTATGATAATATTAATGTAGCTCAGGAAGTCATCCATTTCATGAGAAATATGAAAACCAGAAAGAAATTTATGGCTATTAAGATTGATTTAGAGAAGGCATATAACAAAGTTAATTGGGATTTTCTCAGAAGCTACCTGCAGGAGTTGAATTTACCAACTTAGTTTATTGAGCTCATTTCATGTTGTGTTTCTATAGCAAGTATGCAACTTCCATATAACAGAGAAAAGGCTGATGAATTTGATATCTCTATGGGTGTTCATTAAGGAGACCCCATATCA